TGTTGAGTTTGTGATGTAAAACAAGAAGAGAGAATAAGGAACAAAAGAGATCTGAGAAAGAAAAGAAGAGGTAGAAAGAGAAAATTGAATAGGAAAAGGAAAAGTCAGAAGGCAAAAGGAGAGAGAACGATAACTATCAATCAGATTCAATGATTCAAAGAGAAACCTAAAGTTACTTATACTAAAATAATAATAAAACTGAAAATCTAATCTTAAAAATCTAAATCATCTAAATATCCTAGATAATTCAAATATTCTAGAAAATCTAAATAAATCGTAAAAATCTAAATAATCTAAATATCCTAGATAATTCAAATATTCTAGAAATATAATAAAATCATAATTATTTCTTTTCATATCCCATTACTGATGGTCCATTCTTTTCTCATGTGGGCAATTTCAATAATGGGTTTGCATGCCAATGAGTTCTTTTGGGCCAACCCACTACTACAAAATGAGAAATACTTGATGCTAAATACTTGACGGTTATAACATAAAACCGTCAAATATGGTGTGGCAGAAGAAAAATTGACGGTTTTAAGAGGAACCGTCAAGTTTCCTTTGATAATACTTGATGGTTTTTTCAAAACCGTCAAGTTTCCTTTCATAATACTCGACGGTTATATTATAACCGTCAAGTATTATTATAGGAAACTTGATGGTTCCTCGTTAAACCATCAAGTTTTATAATACTTGATGGTTTTTCATTATAACCGTCAAATATTCTATTAAAATACTTGACGGTTATAATGAAAAACCGTCAAGTATTATGTTTTAAAACCCCCATTTCTATTCATTTTGCTCTACTGGGTTTGAAATTTCTAGCGCCTCTTCTAGTTCCTAACCTGTACCCAGACATCGCAACCCTCTAAACTGCCATCCCTACCTCATTTTCGGTCTTTCCCTTTGTTTTTATTGATCATCCTTCATCATCGTCCCTCTCTGTGTCCTCCTTCGTCATTGAGGCGTCCTCCAGCATCATCATTGTCACGTATTGTTTTCTAGATTTTACAGCTTTAGGTTAGTCCCTCTTCACGTCCTCTTTCGTCACTCGCTCCCCTTATTTCTTTTAGTGGTTCCTTCGAAATGATTATAGTTGAAAGAGGATGATAGGATGAGCAATTATTTTTGCTCTATTATAGTTTTTCTGTTCAGCCGAATGGGTTTTTTTTCGCATTTTGATCAGTTTTTGGGTTTAGGGTCTTTTCAATTTCTATTTTAGCCTTAAATTGTTTGCTAAATTATCAAAATTGCTAATGTTTCAAGTTTGGTTTCTGTAATTGAAATTGACTGAGGCTGTATGTTTTATGTTTTTTAATGTTAATTAATTTGTATGTTGTTATATATTGAAATTGTCTTACTGCTGGTTTTCTACTTAATCAATACTTCATTTGAAGTTAAATAGAAGGCATAAAGCCTGGGGAATGCTAAGTTATAAGCTGTTGTGCTACCAAATTTTTTCAAATGGAATAGCACATCAGTAGTAGTAGAATATTTTCGAACTGAAATGAAAGTGAATTTTTGTTGAATTACTAGTTGCTAACAACTAGAATTACTAGTTGTTAACAAGTAGAATTAATGAGGGATAAATGTGATCAATAGTGCCTTATGTGTTGACTTTTTACTTTTTTTTAATTCTCACAATATCTTTGAGTCGCTAATCACATTTTCCTCTAAATGATTCATCTTAATCGGGGACCATGGGCAAGGAATGGATGTTCGCCAATCATCTATCAAAAGAATATTGGGATGGGGTAGAAGATTTTATTTTGTTTGCGATTGAGCACGCTGATGATTGCAACAGGATTATTTGCCCCTGTCTTAAGTGTTGCTTTCTGAAGTGGGTTTCGCCATCTGATTTTGGCTATTGGTTAGTTTTTGGCATTGAACAACTTTGGCCATTGGCTAATTTTGGAATTGGTTCACCTTTTGTACTTGTCCAAAATTTTTATATTACTTGCCTTAAACACAAGTTTTTTTAATATCACAGTTGGTTTTGGTTCATGTATATATAATAATGTAAATTATTTTTGGTTTTGGTTCATAAAGTTGTCTATGGCTGAGTTGGTTTGAATGCTGGCCTGCATGGTTCTATTGAATGAGCCTTTGTATGAGGTTTAATTTCAAAATTGCAGGGGGGCTACTGGCACAGCAAAGCGCGTATTAAAAAAAAATTCCCATAATACTTGACGGTTATTACTTAAAACTGTCAAGTATTCCTATAATATTTGACAATTCTAAAAGGAACCGTCAATTATTAGAGTATACTTGACGGTTTTTCTGAAATAACCGTCAAGTATTGTTAACCATACTTGACAGTTTTGAGAACCGTCAAGTATTGGTTACTTATAATTGACGGTTTCTAATTAAAACCGTCAATTTTTGTTCTCCAATAATTGACGGTTTTGATAATAACCGTCAAGTATTTAGACAAACAGTTTAAGGTTTTTCTGAAAAACCATCAATTGTTTGAATAATAATTGACGGTTCTTCATTTAAAACCGTGAAATATTATTGCAATATTTGACAGTTAATAACCGTCAAATATCTGGGGTTAAAATATATGACGCCAATATACTTGACGGTTTTCAACTATCAAATATGACCCAAAATAACCGTCAAGTATTTGTCATTTTGTAGTAGTGGCCTTTTGCTCTCTATTCTTCGGTTCCTCTTGTTCTCATAGCTATTTTGGTCTATCTTGGCCTTAAAATATGAGATTTACGTTCGGGGAGCCTATCTTGTGCCGCCTGATTCTATGCATTCAGTTGTTTATATTATCATTCAACCATGAGCAATTCTCATAGTTACCCTGTGGGCATGAGAACGAGGGAGGTATAATTGTTGCTCTGAAGATCTTCATCAGAACTTGGCCTCCATTCCGTCGCACGTTGAGAAAACAAGGGAGGGACTGTTGGGGATCAGTGAGTGATGTGGAAGCCATGCCGCCAATGTTTGCCACATGAGATGTATTAGGGTGATGGCTTAAGATGAATAATATATGATAAGGATTATTTTATTAAATGAGAAAAGATGAGAGACAGAGTTTTAATCAAGTTAAAAGTTTAGAAACTGGGTCACAACAAGTCACATTTGAAAGACCGAGTCACAACTGAAATAAAACTTGAAAGACTAAAAGATTAATTTTTCTTAGATGAAATCAAAAGAGTACATATAAGGACAAAAATTTCCTTATAGAAAGCACCAAATAGAGTACATATTTTTTATTTAATTGAACTCCTTAAGGATCTAAAAAATATCCTGGGGATCAAGTGGAACGCTAAAAACAAACTCCCCCGTGTGTTGCATGGGGAGCTTCACTAATAGATAGATAAATATTCTACTACAAACATTCAAAATGTATTCGTATGGATCATAATCTAATTTTTTTACAATAATAAAAATTAATTGAAAAATGCATAAAAATAAAGTCGCATTGAGGAAAAAACTTAAAATTTAAAAGTAAAAAAAAGTAGAATGACATGAACTGTTTACGAAAAAAGAAAATGAAAAAACCTATCTTAAATTTACTGTTTTCAATTAGTATTAAAAAATTGAAGTCATTTACATATTGTAATGTAATAATCAAAAGCTGATGACTCATGTTAATTTTTTCATTGACATAACACCTTTTTAAGAAAACCAAATAAAAATGAAAGTACTGAACAACCAATTTGAATTTTGAGATCTTGTTTTCTATGTATAATTCCCAACTAGTTTATAGAAAAAATGACACAAAAATGACATTTAAACTTGAAAATTTCAAAATAGTTACTTGAATAAGCAAAATCACAATTTAGGTATAAGTGACTAATTTGGGATTTGTAAATTTGCTGAAATAACCATACTACATTTTAATTTTTTATTGTTTTTAAAAACCAAATACTTTTACGGGCTTGCTGGTTGCTAGAGCTCCGATGCTGGTGGTGGTCGCCGAAGTTCAGGTGGCCACCATCACCAGAGCTTTGGTGGCCAGCAACTAATTTTTTTGTTTTGTTTTGGGAATTTCAACAATTTCAGTAACACAGTTAACAAGTTTTGTAATGCTATTAATAAGTTCAGTATAATAGTTGACAACAGGTTTTTCAGAAAATTCAAAAAGTATCACTTTTACAACTTTAGTAATACTATTAACAAGTTTCATAACTCTATTAACAAATTTGGTATAGCATTTAACAACAGGTTTTGTTTAGAAAATTCAAAAAGTGACATTTTTACAACTTTAGTAACACGGCTAACAAGTCATGTAACAATATTAATAATTTTCATAACCATAATGGCTGCCTAATAATTAAGTGGGAAAATTTTCTTATACAACCTTCATAAGGAACTGATATTAGAAACATTAACCTTTATGAGAGTTGTTAATACTTGTTAACTGTATTACTAAAGTTGTAAAAATGTCACTTTTTGAATTTTTCAGAAAACTTGTTATTAAATGCTATACTGAACTTGTTAACAGCATTACAGAAGTTGTAAAAATGCTACCTTTTGAATTTTATGAAAAAATTGTTATTAACTGTTATACTAAACTTGTTACTAGTATTACAAAATTTGTTAATAGTGTTACTGAAGCTGTAAAAATTTCTAAAAAAATAGTTGTCGGTTGTTGGAGCCGGAGCTCTGGTGATGGCACGGTGGCCACTGCCGGCACTGAAGTTCCGGTGACTAGCCAGCTAGTGAGGGTATTTGGTTTTTTAAAAACAATAAAAATTTAAAAGGTAATATGGTTATTTCATCAAATTTACAAATCTCAAATTGGTTACTTATACCTAAATTAGGATTTTACTTATTTAAGCGATCATTTTGAGATTTTTAAATTTAAGTGTTATTTTTGTATCATTCTTCTTAGTTTGTACATCTTTGGGGTCTCTTTCCCTTGACAACATATTTCTTACGCGAGGGTGACCTTCGGGATTTTTTTTTTTTTGGGTGACCACGAATGTGAGAGTGACCTGGATGCGTACATTACAATATAATATAACAGTCTTGAGTGGCCAAGCGTTTCGTCGCTTGTCTAGTACGTTGGGCATAATTGAGATCTGGGTGGTTGGTGAGATCGTCGGCCGATGGCTTCGTCGATTAGGTCTAATCCCTTTCCCTTCATTGGTATAGGAGTTCGACCATCTACTTCTCCGTCTTTCTTATGCGGTAATCAAATGCAAAATGAGGTTCCCACTGTGGGTGCTGAAATAGTACTTGTGAGGGCGCCCCGACGGAGAAATCTGCGGAGAGTAGGCCTTCCAGGTTCACTCTCCCTCGTAAGTGCTCTCGAACGAAGCAACAGTGGCAGCAATAGCAGCGATGGGAAGAAGGGAGGCGTATCGAATTCCAACTACGTTGTGCCGCTGGACAAGTCGTCTCCTTTCTCGAACTCATCATGTATAACTCGTCCCCTTGCAGAGATTCTCCGCGACCTCAATAAAAGGATCCCCGATAATATTGCCAAAGTTCATGTCCATGGTGATTCCTCGGCTGCTACCCTGATCCCCTGGTAGTGTTATTGTGATATGATTTTGTATATGTTCAATTTATGTTTTTCGTTTTATTTTCCTCCCAGAAATATGTTTGATAGACAGCTAGAAAGTGGCCATCTTTTGAAACCCAAAAGTCTTTGCGTAGAAGATAGATAGTTAAAAAAAATGCTAGATAGATAGTGAATATATTTGCAAAAAGAAAAAGGAAAAATCAAATCGAGTGATATTGCTAGTGAAAAATTTGTTTACTCCTTATCTGACGCATCAGGTTAAAAACCTGGCTTTTTTTCACAACCGCTTGCATGTACTGACACACTTTTAACACTTGAATAACCATAAAGAATGAAAGCTCAACCTCTGATCTATGCTGATCTGGTAATATTTGGTTGGTAGGTATCATGCCAACAGGATGCTGAGCTTCTATGCCCCAGGTGCATGGGATATCCTTTCTTTTAATTCATGATTTACTTGTTCGTTATTAATTAGATGGTATGAGGGGGTCTAGGAAAATATGCTTCCTTGATCATGGCAAGTGGATATAATATACCAAAAGTTCTTTCATGATGTCAAAATATGAGTTTTGTTGGTCCCCCCCCCCCCCCAAAAATCTGTTGTTGAATGAAAAGGGTTCTATGGCCCGATGTTGCAGTTGAAATCAGCATTTTTATTTTTAGCAATGCCTCCACAGTCCACAGAAAATACTTTTTTGATCATATAACACATCCAGTGGAAATGCAGTAAGATCTGAACTTGGTGCTACAATTTATGCTTCTGGCAATCTGGACTGATAGTCCTTTTATAGCATAGTCTATTTGAATGAAAAGATGAGGATGTTTATTTGAAACAAGACATGCTTTCTATGTTTGGAAGGTCGTTAAGGTCCCTGGGGTTCAAACCTGCCGCGTCATGTTTTTAGAAGGCAGTCCATCTTAAATTGACAGCTGGTATTTTGCTTGATTGAACTTCTTAATTGAACATGAAGTTTTCTCATCCCTCACATATTTAAATTCTTTTGCAGGATGGTGTGGAGAAATACGTGATGTCATATTTTCTGACAATGGGAGTGTGACTGTGGTATACCGTGTTACTGTGAGAGGATCCGATGGAGAGGTAGGGCTTCTGCTCTTTTTAGTGTACTATTTAATTATTTTGAATTTTCACTTCGGGGAATGATACAATGCACAACTTTCAACTTTGCCCATGTGAACTTTATTTTCCTTCTCTAGATTAGTAGCAATCAACCCACTTTAAGCTTGATTTATGTGCTTTGTCTTTTGAGTACCAAAAACAGGATCATTCTAGGAAGGGATGGGACTCTAAACAAGGTAAAATCAGATGATTGAGTGTGAGTTGAGGAGCGTTAGATCCAATCATTTACTTCTACAATTGAAGTTATGCCTTAATAACCTGAGAAATTAATAATTGGCTAAGGTTGTGAAGGTGTCTCAAAACCCTTATAGTAGTGCATGTTTGAGAGTCTGTTTGAGGGCCCCCAAACAGACTTTTCCCTAACCCAACAAATTCCCCAAACAGACTGCTCCTAACACATTGATAGTCTCTTAACTTATAATGCGACAACTTGATACATATGTCAGATTGCAATACACAAAATGGTTAGAGGTCTGGTGTGAGTTGTCAGGGCAGAAGAAATAATCTTGAGTTAATTACTAGTTTTTAAGATTGATGATATCAGAATCATTTGATGGGATGTTTGACGTGTTTTTGGTGTTAACAAAGTTTTATAATATAGGAATTGCATTTTCTTTTTGGTTGATAGTCGTAGAAACGGCATTTCTTCATATGAGTGTTTTATATATTTTTTAATTTGATTGGATGGAAATAATCTTGAGTTAATTACTAGTTTTTAAGATTGATGATATCAGAATCATCTGATGGGATGGTTGACATGTTTTTGGCATTAACGAAATTTTATAATAGTAGGAATTGCATTTTCTTGTTGGTTGATAGTCGTAGAGAGAGCATTTCTTCTTTTGAGTGATTTATATGTTTTTTAATTTGATTGGATGGAAATTGCTTGAGTTTTTCTTTTTATTCAAGCTTTTTGCGTAGGCATAAATGTTGAAGGGATGGTTGACCTGTTTTCTGCATGGACAAAACAGAATATGATTTGCGTAAACAATTTTCATGATATTCAAGCTCTTTGCATAAATAATTTTCCTTATATTCAAGCTCTTGCGCAAAATCTTCCTCAATTTGGGTGGTCTATTTATTTTTGAAATTCATATTTATTAGGTTGCTTGATTGTTCCATAAAACTCCCTCAGTTTGTCTGAATTTTCTCTTGTACTTCTGCTTTGTTTCTTATTTTCCCCTGTTAATTCTGCATAATAAAGTCTTTGATTGAAAAAAAATCTGCATAATAAAGTCTAACATAAAGTAGGCTTTTATAAATATATTCAGCTGGTGATTAATAGTAAGATTCTTATGTTATTGGCCCGTTATGAGACCATATGCATAATAACAGTCTGCTATTAGCAGAGTTCTTTCTTGAATAGAATGTTAGCACTGAGTTTATGTTTCTTATCAAATGCAATGCTTTCATATTTCATGCTAAATGCTAATGTTACTATTACCCTATTTTCTTTCCTGGAATTATCAGTCTTCTCTTGAAGCAAGGTATGGCTTCCTTATCAAATGAGTAGCTAACTTTCATTTTTGCTTCAGTTCAACCAACGGATCAAAAATCAGAAGTGTCTTAAAGAATTTTTTTAGTTCACTATGCTGGATTATTCTTCTAAATCCTTGTTCTGATGATAGATCATATCAACTGTTTGGATTGTTTTATGAGCCCTGGATTGTGCATAATGTAACCTACAAGTCATGTTTCAATAATAATGTCAATAAACATCTGAACAAGTAATGGTCAATGATTGAAAACGGATCTGATTATAAAGAGGAAAGTCTGCCACAGCTTGCCTAATTAACCTGAGTTTCTAAGCATGACCATTGCAAAAATGCAAAGTAGACCCTCTTATAGTGTTTGACGTATAACTCTTCCATCAAAAATCATACATATGGGTTTTTGACAGGGAATGGGGATGTATATTTAGTAGGGCGCTGATTTTGGAATTATGGATAGGACAGGATTACGGTTTATCTTTTTGAGATTTGCTTGTTGGGCTTACTTTCTTCTTCTTCCTCTTCATCGTCCTCTTCTTCTTGAGGCTACATGTAGCCCCTCCCGGCATTTGTTTAATTATCATATATTGGGAACTTATTGTATGATAAATACTTGGATGCTGTTATGTAGGGGTTTGCTATAAGATTCTTCAAATAAACTTGTGGAAAAGCAGTTTTGAAAGAATCTGTGACGTATTGCTGAGCTATTGAAGAACATCATAGCATGTACATTTTGCCCCCTAAATGTACTGTTTGGAGTGGGCTCTACATCATATTTGATGTAGGAAAAAAAGTTAACTAAAATGACATTTAACTACCATGACACTAGCATTTAACTTGATATTTGTATGCTTAATCAAGCTACAATGCTATTTAACAAGTTAAACCAGCAATTATTGATGAGTGTTAATTGTCGTATCCCTACCAAATTTGTTGATTTGAGTTTTGAAAACAAGTTTGATCTTGGCTCAAGCATTTATAAAAGACTTGAATGAGCCTGGCCATGGCCATGAGGTATTGGTCACTGCCTTAGTTCATTTAACGCATAACCAGAAGTTGTGCATGATTTGAATCATTCCAAGGATGTTTTCATGTCTCCTGGTGGCACAGCTTTTGTTGTGCTGTTGAGGTTGAAGGATGGGTTAGGTTAATTTTTTCCTGTTGATCTCAAGTTAATCTGATTATGTTTGGATAACAGATTTTTTTATTGTAATTTGAAGTTTATATAACATTAAACAAATATTATAATATACTACCTCTGGTCTATAATATAATATAAGAGTTAGTTGGGGATTGGATTTAATTCTAAATAGAAGATCTTAATCCACTTTGTATCTCAAATTTATAAGTCATTTTCTAAAATATTCCTATTAATTACACATGACAAGGAATTTTTATTTAAGGATAGTTATGATTAAAAGGAGCATTTTAGGAAAATTAACTCAGTTGTTACGAATAACTAAACTAATTTTCTTAATTTATTCAAATTAAATAACCCTCTTATATTAAGGATTGAGGGTAGTATTTTGTTTAGGTTATTGTGCATCACTAGATATATACCTATAACAGATGGTATGTGGTTTGTTCAGCAGAAAATAGAGGGCAAAGTTGGATCCCCCCCCCCCCCCCCAAAACAAACAAAAAGCCTGTGAGAAAAATGTGATTGATATGCAGTTTAATTACCCGTGACCAGGCGCATCGTGAGTCGACAGGGACAGTATCCCCTAGTGATGGCCCTATTGGAGATCCAGTAGCTGCCGCTGAGGAAATAGCTTTCTGCAAAGCTTGTGCTCGATTTGGTCTTGGCTTGTATCTGTATCATGAAGATTAAATGCCCAGACAATTTAGCTTCGCAAGATTTGCTTCTGTTTGAGATGTTGAATTGTTAGGGTTTCTGTTAAAGTTATGTAAATGACTCAATATAAGAAGGCAAGGGTCCTGCGTCAAATACTTACAACTTGAATATGGTTACTGGGATGTAGAAGCCCCTTGTGTTCTGAGACCATATGTTTACATTGAACTGACATTCCTTGCTGCTTAAGCACATCTGTCCTCCTCATTACCCTCGAGTTTTAGGTGGCTTTCTTCTGATCTGGAAAGACAGTCGCCACTAGAGAACAAATGCAGCAAATGAAGTTTTTTCTGAGGCCGGGGTTGGTTAATAGTTTTAAAAAATGGGTTACAGTGCAAATCTATCTCTTAACCATTTGATGAAGCTTAATTTGTATCTTTAAATATTTTTTTGGTGCGATGTTCCTCCAAGGCACCAAAATCAATGCGATGTAAGCCCAGGTTTTATAGACTTGAACATTTGACCATTAACTTAATGGTGTTTATGTGGCATGCCATGTGGCATTCATGGTATATTTTGTCAGCTCACCAATTTCAAGTTGCTTCAACTTTTTTTGTTTCCCCTTGATTGAAACTCAATTTGAAAAATAGGCCTAATGTTATTCAAAAAATAAAATTAGAAAATCTTAAATGGATGATGCTAAACACATATTAATATGATAGTCAATACAGATTGGCTTGGCTGGAAGTCAAGTGTGATGATAAGGAATAAGACCTCAAGAGAAAATATTTTTTATAGCTCCAAGAATAAAACATCAAACAGATTATCAATATAAGATCTTAAGAAAACTTGTTTTTTATAACCTCAGCATAAAGGTATCATAATGATGATTAACCCCTTGATACCTAATATTCACATGAGAATATGTCCATGCATGCAAGCAATGCTTACCTGTAGAGAGAGAATTCTCAATTCTTAGTCATTCAAATCTAATTCCTTAACTAGAAAAATGTATCCTATATATAGGCGATCATAGAACACCCCTACAACTAAAAATGTATGGTTGATTGTTTTGCTTGGGGCCATTCATGACATATATAATAGGAAATTACTTTAACTTCGAGTATAAGTGTGCTATATACAAATAGGAAAATAAGACAAGATCTTCTATGGTAATCTTTGACCAAAGAGTCTTATTTATAGCAAATAAAAAGAAAAATATCTTAAAATGAAATTAAATTAAAATTAATGCATAAGGATGCTTTGTAGATGCCTCTTTAATGATATTAGATGTCGTTTATTGTCACATCCAATAATATGACAATTAGGAATAAGGATATTCCTAAATATTCAAAGGCTAAAAAGGATTAAAAAAAAAGAAGAATTACGTTGGAAAATAATTGGTATGATTTTCCAAGTCAATTATGAAAAGTTTGACTAATTTAAAAAAATTAGTCAAGAATAATTATGGAAATATATTCCTAAGCCTTAGAAAATTAAGAAAAAGTAAGGACAATGTTTTTTGAGAATTATATGAGGTTATATAATTGGTTTTATGACCAAAGTCCCCTTAGATAAGTTACAAAGGAATTTAAGGATGATTTAAGCTAGTTTAAATCCTTTTATTTGGAAAATTCCAAATATATATTTGGATGGAGAATAAAATTCTGAGAAAATTTCTATGATATCCCAAAGAATTATAAGAAATTATGGGATTAGAAAGAGAACCCCAAATATCGAAGATTTTTTCTAATTATTTGGACAAGTGGAAAAATCAATAATGAGAAGGAAAACGATTTTCCTTTTTATTTAATTAATAAAAAATTGAGTTTGAGCTAAAGAGGGCATTTCAGGAAGAGAAAAATGAGAAGAATAATTTATGGATCTGACAAAAAATAATTATAGAGGCCAGAGTACTGTAATTATAGAAAAGAAATTAAACCCGGAGTAAAAGTATACTGATAAAGTGTAAATTAGAGTCTTGTACTTTACTTGGCCCACAATTTGCCATTTGTCAAGCCCATAATGGATGGTAATTAAAGTTGCAAAGTGTTAAGTCTTGAATGGAGAGGATTTCGACTTTTGGAAATTAATTACCATTAGAATTTCTTAATCAAGAGAGAGGTTATAAGGAAGAATAGTGTAACATCCAGAATTTTGGGCCTAGAAGTATCAAAAGTAGCCTGAATTGGATAGGCTACTAGACCCTTTTTGAGCAGAAGTCCCAAAGATGAAAAAGGAAGTCAAAGCAGTTTTGGGGACTAAACTGCAAAGTAAAAGTTTTTTAGGGGTTTCAGTATAATCAAGGTCAAGGACTCCAGTAAAGTCTCGAAGGCCTAGAGAGAGAAAAGAGATTAGATATAGGCCAAAGGTTAAGTTAGAAGCCTCAAAGAGAGGATTATATGAAGTTAAGTCCAAGCAGGGACTAAACTGTAAATTCAAAAAGTTATGACCAGCAAGGGCAAAAATGGAAGTGTACAGAAAATTCTAAGAAAATCCCAGAAAATGGGAAATAATATTCTAAGACTCTTCTATGAAGAGAAAAGATGAAAATACCCCTGAGATAGCTTAAATGGAATTTATGAGGTTATGGCTAGTAAAAGGTACACTGTTTGAAGTAATTATTTAAAATAGCAAGAGACCTCAAAAATGTATGTAAAAATGAGAATTAATTGGTTGAAAGGTTATACTAATTTATAAAATTAGTCCCGCAACCAAAAGGCTAGTGGAATGGCTTTAATAAATTAAAGAGCAGATTATACCGATAAAAAGGTATTTTAGTAAATGATTTTTATACAAGGCTTAAAGGAAATGTTATGGCCTGAGAAAATTCATAGATACTCTTTAGAATGAAAGGGAATTTATGGAGTAGATAGAAGAATTTTTTGAACCCTGGAAGGCCATAAAGAAAGTTGGAGAAATGTGGGCCAAGTAAAATAGGAGGAAACTTAAGAGCTAAGTTTAGATCCGACGGTTATGATCTAATCTTCCTTCTCCTCCACCATTTTTGCGACATGTGGCCTCTTCTAGAAGCATGATGGAAGGATGATGTAATAAGGTGATGCAATGATGATGCAAAAGTCCACTTGAACTTCCAAAATTGCCCTTACTCCTTCTTCTAGCTACAAAGGGCATTTTGGTCCATTCAAGCCAACTTTTTGGCTATAAATAGGCACTCTTCTTCCCCTCAATTTGGCCAAGCTGATGAACACTAGGGGAAACTCTGCTGCCCTTGCATCTAGAGAGAGAAAGAGCTATTTCTAGTGAGAGAAAGTCCACCTAAGTTCAAGCTTCAAGATCAAGGTATGTGGTGGCTATAGCATCTGATTTGATACCTATTTCGAATTAGTTACTGTGCGTATCTGATTCTGAAATTTTTCATGCTTAAAGTACACTTTGTAAGCTTTAAATGCATGGGTAGAACACTTCATTTGGATATGTGTACGATTTATGGTGATTTTTCAAAGTTAGGGTTTGAAATCTGGAAACAGTGTTGAACTTTTGGAAGAGTTTTGAGTTCCGTACAATTCCGATACTGTTCGACGTAGAATTGTTTCCTGAAACTATTTTTCCTTTAAAGTTAACTTAAGGAGATTTCAGTGAGACTTAGAAGCACTCAATTTGGAGTTTTCTAGATTTAATTATGAATTTTCAAAGTTGAGCAAAAATTCTGGAGTTTCTGCGTGAACAGTACTCGCGAACCAAAATTTCCAGATTTGGTATTCTTGAATCTAAGGCCATCTAAAGTGGTTCTAATTGACAAGAAATGGATCTTAAGGATGGGAAATGATAAGATTTATATTAGAAAAGTTAGAAAGAAAACCCTAAGACTAAGAGAAAGGGTTGAGGTTCAAGAAAGCTAGTCTTGAACTTTATGTAATCTAATGGTCCTAATGGATTGTGTGATCATTATGGTTATGTTTAGGACCTTTGGAACATCCAAGAGGATGTTTAGTGATGTTGACCGAATGCCCACATGGTTGGAAAGTCAAGGGAGTCAAAAGAAAAGTAAGAGGAAAGTTTGAGGTGCAAGGTAGTAAACTTACCCTTTATGTGCTTGACATGGTATGCTCATGTGTTGGTTTGTATTTGTTGTTTGAATGATGTTGTGACATAATGATTGTTGTTGGAAATGCTGTTTTTAATATGTTCCCATGGCCATGCATTTTTATACCAAGCATAAAGCATGATGGCATGTCACTAGTTAACTTAAGTTTATGAAAAACTACATACGATACACTAGCATCCATCTTGTGCATGTATTTTTGGAAATTGTGCCCTAGGGGCCAATCATTGTGTTATGAACATTGTTGATTTATGAATTCTTAATTATATTATCATATTATTTGTATGTTTACTGTGATGACTATCCTTAGATAACTCATGATTTATCCTAAATGTCCCTGGTTGGTCATCTATGTGGGAGCAGAGATAAAATAAGACTAGTATGACTTTGAAGATATATAGAGATATAAATCAAAGTCATAGGCACACGTAAGAGTACAAAGTGTTAGACCGACTCGCAATGAGAGAGCTGCATGGGTTAAGTAATAAGCTTCTCTCATATACAAACCATGTCACTGTGCCCTTTGACCTGAGATCATCATGGATTCCTACATGAGAAATGCTCAGCTTTGACCTAGTTAAAAGTCACTTTTGACCGAGTGATCATAAAGACTATGTTCAAGCTTAGTGGTTTTTCATGCGGAGGAATGTGAATGGTTAAGATGGAATTTGTCCCTCACATTTGTAGAGAGATATTACAGGGCCCCTCGATGAGTGAGTCTGAGAAATATATGGTCATACTATAATGGAAAGGTAGTTTCGTTTCTATACTCAGACTACTCAAGGATCGAGAAAGTAACGGTTATAAATAAGAAGATGACGTTCTCCATGCCTCATCCATGACCAAAATGTCGTGTGACAAAAAGGACGTGATATGGTTGTATGAAAGGTTACATCGTTCAACGATCCTCATATGATTTGGGTAGTCATGATGTCTTGCTAGAGATCGCTTACGACTTGTGAGTCATTATAGTTAATGGCCCATTGCCAACTTCATATGGGCCTACAGGGTCGCACACAAAATAGCCCAACACGAGCTATGATGTCCAGATTCATTCAATCTAAGATATGTCCAGATTCAATGAATAATATGGGGTGGACGTATATATATATAAATTTGTATATATATATACATATTATATAAATATAAGAGATATTAATTGTTAGATTTAATTTATAAGGATAAATTAGATCTATATAAATTAATTCCGTCATATCTTTATTTTGAATTAAATAAATAGGTTAATTAAATCTGTGAGATGGATTTAATATAAACCATATTTATTTAATTGTTCTCTTATATGATTAGGCAATATTTGATATTGTGTTAATTTCGGAATTAATTTAGGATTAGTTTCGAAATTAAATATCATTCATAATACCTATAGCATCCTATATATTTGATATGAGGAGCTAGGGTTTTATGAGTGAGAGTGAAAACACTAGCAGATGAGAGACGGCCAAAACTAGAGAAAGGAGGACGGTTTCTTCGAAAATAAACCCTAGACAGACTAAAG